AATTCTGTTAAATCCTGTTGAACCGTTTGACAATATAATCTAGATTTTAAGGCGGTTAGTTTATTAAAAAAACTCAAATTTATTATGGGTTCTAATTTTAATTTGCATTTTATGTATAAGTTACTTAATAATTCTAACTTTAATTATAGTCAATAAATTAAAATTACAAAAATACTATAATTTAAAAACAATTCAATTATGAAATAATTATTTAATTTTTATTTTGATCATAATTTTAATTATTTATGAGTTAAATTTTAATTATTATTATTAACAAATCAGTATAAATAATATAATTAGAATCTAAGTTAATTATAATTAATCTAAGTAATTACATTAATTCTAATTAAATTAGTTAAACTAAATTAATTTGTTCCTATGTTTAATTCGATGTTATGCTGTCCTATAACTGCAGATTTGCTTTTCCACGTGTCCAATTGTTCGTTACTCTTCGACTTCACCTACTTCCTGAGTTCGAACAAGTCTCTAAATAACTGATTCGCCTCCTTCGACAATATTCCTTCCTATCGGATCTGAAGTCACACCTCTTCGCCGTTCTTTTGTTGGATCAGAAGTACCGATTACAACAACGGGAGCTTGCTCGTTGCGAAATTAGTCATTTTTCTTCCTTTAGCGTGATTCTCCGGCCAAATCCCATAAATCCACCGAACTCCTGGAATTAGTAAATCCAAGATTTATGGCAAAAAGAGGGAAATAAAGGATTTAACTCGCTGTGATATTTAACAGTTCATGGGATTTAGCATAAATCCTACCAAATCCTGCATAAATCCAGTATCCAAACAGCCACTATATCTTCCTCTTCTTTAGCAGAGACATTAAGGCATATAAGAAATCTGAAGCAAAATAGCCCCGCGCAACTACAAAAGCTACACATTCAACTTTCACGATAACCAGTGAAACAAATGAGGACTTAACCAGGCCATTAATTTACTGTAAATTTACACAATATCTAATCTTTTGCAAAATGTATAACTTTTTGAAGATATTTCATAAATTATATTTCTTAATCTTGGAAAAGGCTAATATCCTCCCTTTTATATCAAGAACAATAAACTGTTAATCTCATAATCATCAATTGATAATACAATTTCAATTTAAAGAATTTGAAGCAAAGTTAAGAAAAACTTAATAAACAATTTGAAATCCAATGATTGCAACATAAACAAATTATACAACAACAACATCACGCATTGATCCCACTACATGGGGTCAGCTACATGAATACTTTTTCTCCATGTATCCTCTTAAGAGTCAATTTCTCATTTAAATTTAATGAGAAAAAATCATTTCTAATATTTTCTAGCCAAGCCTTTTAGGACTACCTCTACCTTTCTTAACAAAGGTCAAATCCAATACATCTACTCTCCTAACTAGATTATCGGATTGTCAACATTTAATGTGGCCATTAATTTTCACTCTCTTTTTTTGGCTATCTTTTATATACATATTTCAATTATTTTAATATCTAATCTAGTATATACAACATTAAAAGATAAAATTTTCACATCACATATTGCTTTCTTATATTACTTATGGGCCCATTTATATGCTTTCCAATTTTTCATGCTTTTACATCCAAACTAACTTTATAATAAAGATTCTTATTTTTTATTCATTCTTACGTATTTTAATTCCACCACCAATTATATTTACTATTAAGGGCTTTTCCTCTTGATACACCAAGCAATTATTTGCAACATTTTTTATATTATTAGATACTTTTTTCAACTTAATATTAGTTTCCTCATGCACAGTAAAAATCTTAAAATCTTAAATCTTACTCACAAAAATATTTTTTTAATATCCTTTAAATACTCCCATATAATCATAAGATAATATTTTACTTTATTTTTTATAATATTTTACTTTATTTTTCATATTATGCCCCTTCATCTTAATATCCAAAGCTAATAAGCGATGTTGAGAACATATATTTTCACTTGAAATATCTTTACAAACTTTGTCATCTAAAGGATCTAAGTTTTATTATATCCATTCATAAGTGATGATTTGAGTTGCTCATATCTTTTCTTAAATAAGATATTAGTAATTACAAAATTATAAGCTATAGCAAAATTTAACAGTGCTACCAACTTTATTAGTCACTCCAAATTCATAATCATCATGAATGCTTTTAAACTCTTCTACTATTCTACCAACATGTACATTTAAATCTCCTCTAATAAAAACTCTTTATTTAAAAGGTATCTTTTGTATTATTATTCTTTTAAATCATTCCAAAATTGTTATTATAGGCACAAATCTAAATCTAATTAAAAAGCATAAGCATATATAATATTATTAATCATAACATCAACAACAATTTTTAAAATGATAATTTTATCTTCAATTCTATTAATTTCTACAACATTATCTTTCAAACCATTATCTATAATCACACATATATTATTTCTAGTATGACTACTACCTGAATACCATACTTTAAATCCTAAACTATCAATCACCTTAGCCTTCTTTCTAACCTATTTAATTTCCTGTATTTATAGAATATTTATCTTTCTATGAACCATAATATCTATAAATTGTATTAACTTGCACCTATATTCATGTTCTTATCCGAATCCTAGATTCATGGGATAGCTTCTTTACCCGCATCCATCCATGATGTGGAAACCCTTATTTAATATTGCACCCGAGCGCTAGTGCAGTGTCCATTGCACACTTCTTGCTTTATTCAGGCCATACATCATGTCGCTTCCAGAGGACGCCCAAACATTAACACAATGTATACAAAAAAACATGATTATTTGACAAATTTTGTTGGTTGTCGACTACCTAACACAACCCTCTATTTTTCTCATAAAAGGCTTGGGACCTGAAAATGATAGTGTTAGAATAAACAAATTATACAAAGAATAATTAAATTTTGGATATATATTTTTTTCAAATAAATTATAATAAATGAGTTCTAACTATATCCATAAATAACTAAACAACAACAACAAAATCAAGCCTGTCCCACTACATGGCTTTGGCTACATGAATCCTTTTTCTCCATTGTGTCCTTTTAAAAGTCAAATTCTTGTTTAAATCTAATAAAGAAAGATCATTTCAAATATTTTCTAACAAAGTCTTTTTATGTCTACCTCTACCTTTCTTAACATAAGTCAAATCTAATACCTCTACTTTCCTAACCAGGTCATCGGAAGACCGACATTTTATGTGACCAAACCATCTAAGGCGACTCTCTCTAATCTTATCTTCCACTGGCCCTACTCCAACCTTTTCACATATATGGTCATTTTGTATCCTATCTCTAAGGGTAAAGCCACTCATCCACCTGAGTATCCTCATCTCTGCAACACTTAGCTTAGTATTATGCTTCTTTTTTAATGGCCAACAATCGGCACCATAAAGCATTGCAGGTCTCACAACCATCTTATAGAATTTTCTCTTAAGTTTGAGGGGGACTTTTCTTTCAAACAACAAGCCTGGTGCATTTCTCCACTTTAATCATCTAACTTGAATTCTACTGATAATATCCCCATCTATTTCACCATCACTCTGAACAATAGATCCAAGATATCTAAAACGTGTACTCTTATTAATGACTTGATAGCCTAAAGTCACAATCCCCTCACTAGGTCTATTACTACTAAAATTACACTCCACGTATCCATAAATAACTACAAATAATAATTAAGTTTTCAATAAAATTTTCTTTAAAAATAAATATTATCGAAGTATATTTATATAAATGTAGAATAATTATCATTGCCAAAACATTAACATTTCTTACATAAACATATGCTAAAAAGTATATTTATTTAAGCTAACAAATTAATTATTACAAAATCATAATTTCAAAAAAAAATTAAAAAAGTTGAATTTTAAATAGATTAACTTATTATCTTTTTAAAATTTTGAAATAATAAAATAAATTTATTTAAAAATTTTGAACTACAAAATAAAATTATTATTATTATAAAATAACAAAGATTTCAAAACTTGAATCATAATTGCATTCTCTTACTTTTGTAAGAAATTGTCCATATATGAAAACTAATATTCCAATTGTGGATTATTAAAAATTTTAATTTAATTTTTTAACTCGTTCACTATCCTATTATTTTATCTAATTGCTTGAATTGGATATGCTCGTCAGGCCCATGGCGCCACGTACACCCCACTATCAAGCTTCGTCAACACTGAGCTAGTGATGTCGCACGCTTTCTTGAGTTACATGCCACCATGTGCTTATATTGTTTTTTAATGTGTTTCACACCATCTTTGCTACTACATGGAAGTCAAGCTGCTTGCTTCTCATCATGTTGCGCACACACAACACGCATTGTTGCACTATCGCTACAACAGAGCAGCACTTGATCATCATCACATAAAGTGTCATCATCACGACACGTGATGAAACCACTCACTACATACCACAAACTACTATTGAGCATACCCATCGAGTTGCCCATTATGTGCTCATAGCGTCGCCACTACACACGAATAGGGAACAAAGAAAGAATCATACTTAAAAAACCATCAAGGTCTAATACCATTTAAGGATAATTTTAAACAATGTAAACAAAATAGTTAGATACAAGAAGATTGGATCCCCATGCATGAACATTGATCTACCTCATGTGCAGATCTACCTAAGTTTTTATGAATGGAAGGGGGCTGCTAGAGTTACCAATACAAATTCACCCTTTAAACCCTTAGGCTTCTCACATAATAAATACAAGAGAGGACAACCAAAATTCTCTAAATTTTTTTTGTGTTTCATTTACAACTAGGAACCCATTTTCGTACTAAAAGGATTTGAGTATTAAATCCATCAATGAGATGTGACACTAAAAATTTAATAGTTATCCGTTAGGACGAATCAAAAATTTAAATTAAATGTGTAATTTTGAAATTTTAGATAATTTCAACATGACAAAAAATTCCTTGTAAATTTGGCATAAAAAAATGATAATGCTGCTTAAAATACTTGAAACGTGCTAGCTTACCAGGGCTAAGACAGAGGTAAAGATGATAGGTTGAATTTGGCTTATCCCTCTTAATGAAGCATTGGATCATCCCATCTCGAGGGCCAGGCTGTAAAAATCAGCAGATATAAAACATAAGTTTAAGAGGTCAACTACAATGACGTCATTCTACGAGATGAAATCAATCATATTGTTGCTTTACAGCAATAGAGATGATGAAGGAAAGAAGAAAGCGAAGGAACTTGGATACCAAAAACCTAAACATCTAACAAAAGTTCTGCATGTTACAACCTGCTTCAAAGAAACTGGGAAGGTGAGCTTTCCAGTAAACTCAGGACTTTTCACTATTTCTTTGCACAATTCCCTCCATGATCTGCAGACTGCAGCACATGCAACCACATGTTTACGCGAAGGCCATGTACTTTCACTTGTCTCTAACCTTTTAATAACATCACAAAGAAGTTCAGAGGGAAGGTTAGCCCAGCAACTTTGCTGGATCAATGGAGGTTGATCATGCAATTCATGGACAGAGCTCTGAGATTTTCCTTTGTTAAGACCTTTTAGCCTCACTTCAAAGCCACGTTTAGACAAACTCCCAAAACCATCTCTTACATCCCGAATGATGGAACGGAACGACATCTAGAGCTCTTGCCGAACCCAACCAAACTAAAAGAACCAAAACGAGAATAATTTTATCCGCCAAAAAGCATGTAGATGGAAGCAACTGCTGCGATCTCTTAAAAATAGCAATTAATGAATTTGCTGAATAAAGTTGATCAAACTGTAACACATTCAAAAGAGATTATTTAAGGAGCCTATCAATTTCATCAAAATGTTTAAGTTGACGAGAGAATAAAGATGCTGTTCACCTGAACAATGCACGCATAGGATTTCATAACTGCACATAAGACTTACCTTGTGGAACACCTGAATCACAGATTTTAACAATCACAAGGCGAGATAAAATGTAGTTAAAAAACTTACGTAAGGAATAAATATTCTGAATGATTAATGCGCAAAGTAGAACGTAGAGTTTAAGAGAAATTGAGGTACGAAAGAACTACATAATTCAAAAAATCATTAAACTTAATATTACAAATTTAAGATGGTTTTGACTGGGCAAAAAAAAAAAAAAAGAAGAGACAAAATCTTGTAATCTTGATTGGTAAAAAAATCATTTTGCTCTCAATCTATGGTTGGAATGTCTGAGTTGCATATAAGTATCCCACTAGCATGGGTTTTTACGCAGAATAGTAATTATACAAGCACTTTCAATTGATATACTTAGTAGAATTCTAGATCATCAGGGACTGAGTACATAAAGGTGGAATTACACAAAGGTAATATCAAATTTTTTGTTGCCTGTTTATTAAATCTTTTACAATTTTTTCTGATTTTTCAAAGCTAATCTTCCTATGCTTTTCATTAAACAATAAAAATATGCTATTACAAAGAAAATAAAGGCAACAAGCTGATGGGGCAGCTCATTGATCATCAACAGCCTCAGTCAACAAATGCCATCTCTACAACACCCATCATTTCCACAAGCGATCATTTTGCAGCACATATTGTTGACCCAATGCCACAACTCCGCCACCTTTGGTGCACAATACCTTCTGCAACTGCCTAACCTAGCTTGTAAATACCCCCTTTACACAAAATTAGTGTTGGGAATGAGAGAGTAAAACACTGCGATGAAACAAACAAGAAAGTTAAAGCTTTGGAAAGTAAAGGACACAATGATTTAACATGGAAAAACTCAAAATAGGGAAAAATCCTGGAGTCACACCACACCAAGAAATCCACTATGAAAATTGGGAGAAATGAGTACAAATATCTCTTCTCTATCACTCTCTCCTTGCTTCTCTTCACACATGCCCCGTTCTCTATGTCTTACACTACAAAAATGCAAGAGAAAATCAAGTAAATAACCACAAGGGACGCAACCCTTTAGAAAAACGAGAAAGAAAATTGTTCAGTCTGTCTCGCAGCGTAGTGGCGCCAGTTTACGGGGTTGTGGAGCTCAAACCTTTGTCTTGATATGCTGCGGCACCATATCTAGACTGTTGCAACGCTCCATTCTCTATCATTCAATGCTAGGGCGCTCAGGAACATAGTGCAAGGGCACTCGGTAACATAGAGCCTGGACGCTCAGGTACACAACACCTAGGCATTGACGAACCCCAAGCAGAGGGTAAACCACCTACGACCCCACCCCGCCGCCGCAACACAATCAGATTCTACACATAATAGTTAGGTCAAATAAATTAGATTTCTTGATCTTACGACAAGTTTCTTGATTCAAAATAAATTTAGTATGCTCTTATGACAACCAAATTAATTATTAAGCCTCCACAAAAATATGGCAATGCACTTGCAAATGCAATGCTCAGTTAAAACATAATACTCTCACCACTAGCCTTGTAAGGCATTTTTGAGAAGTCCAGGATAAAAAAATGTTGTAGCTTATGGAGGTTTCTAACTCTTCCAAATTGTGCAAAGATATAAGAACCAAAATCACTCACCTCGATAAATGTGTCAAGGCACCAAGGACTTAATAGAAGACTCCATCATCAACATTATTCAAGAATATACGAAGGCATGAACAACTTTCATCCAAACAAGTCCTAACCCCTTTTTCTTCCTCTCTCTAGAGTGATTTAGTGTGAGAAGCTTTAACATGGTGGAAGGTGACCTAAGGTCACCTCTTTCCTCTCATGTGGTGGCCAGTGAGTTCAATGGCCATAACAAAGGTGTGGCGGGAATCAAAGAAAGATCAGCAATGCAGGAAAACTCCGTCCAAGTCAAATTGGCCGGAGAAATCATATAGTTTGGTGGTCAAGCTTCATAACTATTTCTCTAATGCAGGGTGGGAAGGCAACTGATTTTTGGCTTTCTAATGCCAATATGGAGCTTTTATCATGCTCGCCGTATGCGTCTTCTGAGCAAGAAATCGAAGAACTCCAGGATGTGGATGCATGGGAGCAATTGACGGAAGCTTTTCTTTTGATTATTACTTCTAAGCTGCCACGCGCACGGTGCTGACTTCAAATATCGATGCTCAATCCAATTCTAGTCATCATATGGCTGAAATTTCTTTGAATTTGGATGTTTCAAATTATGCTTTCACATCTGTCCCGCGTTCTCCTCCTGTCCTGGGTAATTTGTCCGCGTCTTCTTCCAGTTCTACGAGCAAGTTGACTTGCTCGGCCATTCGAACTCCAAATGCATGTTTATTAGTGATGATGTGGATGATGGCGGACTTCCAGCAGCACGCCCGATTGTGCCTCCCAAAATCATTGCAGTCGATGTCGTTAATCATGGTGAGTTGAAGGCCACGGACTGCTCTGCTACTTGTAATGCAGCAATTAGAAGCCCATGTGATGCCAAAATTGCTAATGGACATTTGGAATTGAATGTTGCTATGGATACAAATGTTTCACCTGAGTTTGTTTACACATGCGTAAATCCTTTAAGTGCAGCCATTAATGATACCCCCAAATTATCAAAACCTACACTTTAGGTGTTTGTGCAAATGCCCCTTCTAAATCTGCTAGCTGTAATGATCAATCTACCTCATTTCAGTAGCCCTTCAAGCAGTAGAATCTGCCAAACCTGCTCCAAAACTCCCCAACGCATGAAATAGATTTGAAGTTTTCAAGATTGATGTTGTTCGCAAATCAGGAATCATGTCGAAAGAAGGTACTTCAATGCCTTTGAACATGGATTTCATTCAAGCCAACTTAGCAAAGCTTGAAAAAGGGCTAGTTGGCAAGCTATTTGATAGGAGGTTGCCTTATTTTGTGTTGAACAACGTGTTGAAGCACAAATGGTAAATTTTGAGGGATTTTTCATATTCTTAGCATCTCTCCAGATTGTCGTTTGTCTTTTTGGTAGTGGAGAGGCACAGGATGCTGTTCGCATGGGAGGAGCATAGGTTCAATGGTGGTTGTTGACCTCCTTTTTAGCATCGATCATTTACACAGTCTAATCACTCGCATGGTCTTATTACATGCACCGCCAAATGCTCTCCAATCCCATCTATCATTCAATCAAGTAGTTTGAAAATGTACTCTACATCCACCAATCAGATGGTTCTGTATGTTTTAAGAAAATAATTTCATAAGGATTACTTATCAAAATGTTAGACAAGCTTCTATTATTAATATCACATAAGTTATCAAGTATGATTGTCACTCCAATCTAACTCCGAGTCCTTTTTTATTTTCTCAATAACTTTCATTTTATTACTCAACTCCTTTAGAACTCAAACTCTCAAGCTTATATGGTTGACGGTTTCTAACCTCAACCATAAGCACTTATACAGCATATTATACTGAGGAAAGAAGAGGGGGTTGCCTCATGGAATGGAATGGCATTCTCATAGAAAATTCTCCCAAAGCATGCCTCTCTAGAATTCTCTGGATATATCTTTTATGATGCAAATGTCTTACCTCCATAGTCCTTGTCATCCTCCAAATTTATCATGTAGTGATCTATGGGATATCTTGCACATCTACTTAACATTGGTGGCAAAGATGATGAAGAGTCCCTGTCACTATACTCACTCCTACAATAGAGCCAACATCAACTCTATCATAAAAGCATCATTGTTCCAGATGCTTAACATTGTAGATTTGTTCATATATGAATGGATTTCTCTTTTCAATGTGTTTGGCACTTTGGCCAACATTGCTTGTGAGCCTAAGAAGTGTTTCTTCATTCCTACAAGATGCCATTTAATTACCTTCAAATGAACATATGTTTTTTAATTTTCTCCAACATGGATATTCACTCTATACCTCCATTTTGGATTCTTTCTATGGCCTATTGTGAATTTCTCCCTGTAAAACCCAAAAAACACTGTAACAACACGTTGCGGCGCACCGCGACAAAATTGATCAAATTATCGAAGTTGTCGGAATTCGAAGAAATTAATTTTATAAAATTGTACATTAAATTTTGATCAAATTGATATAAAGAACTTCTGTTAAATTTCACACGAATTTGGAGTTAAAAATCAACAAAGTTTCATAAAGGGAAAATTACTAATTAGCCCACATACTCTTAATAACCTTAAGGCATGCAAGGGGCATTGGTGTCTTTTTGTTTTCACTAATCGTTCAAGAGTATTAAGGGACTGAAATCCATTCGGTCCCTTCTCATTTTCAAGCACACCCTTCGGTCGAATTCAAGGAAGGAGAACGGCGGCGGCAAGAGAGTAGGGAGAGCGTCGACGGTGGTTTCCGGTGGCCAAGTTGGGAGGAAATTGAAGGAAAAGAAGAAGGAAGAAGAATGTGAGTTCCTAAATTGAAAAACCTCTTCGTTTTCACTTAGATTTCTTATGTTGAAAATTCTAGGGTTTCTCTAAAAACATAGAATATCTCAAAAGGATTTATAGGGAATGATAGGAAATGTTTGGGAAGGAATTTTAGCCATGAAATTTTAAGTTTCTCGGTTTCTCCAAATTTTACTGAGTTTCAAAAATTAGGGTATTTCATATTTTGGAATACTATGGAAAATCTTTAACAAATATTATCCTATATAGGATTAGGAGTATGTTTTAGGAAAGAAATTTAGGTTTCTTATGAATTTTAAATTCTCCTAATTTTTAAATTAAAATAATCCTAAAATAATTTAACCTAAGTATTAGTTAGGTTTAAGGGATATTTTGGTATAGTTATATGATGAAATTATTATTTTTTCATATGATGAAATTATTGAATATATGATTTCCAAAAATTAGGTTTATTGAAAAAATCAAAAATTTAAATTAAGATTAATGTTCATGAGATATTAACGTGATTATTAGGGAAATTAAAATCATTTAGGGAAAATGCATTAAGTTTTATGTTGAGTTTTCTTAGATTTTGGAAGTGAAAGAGGAAAGACATCAAGGAGATAAATTACTATCCTCGCACGTCTAATATTTTTAAATAAGGTAGGTATTTATATTTTTATTAAATTCATGTTCTTAATTTTTAATTATTATGAAAGAATGTATTTGTGTTATGAATTTTTCCTATTCATTTAAATATCACATGTTTTACCTGTATACATGTTTATCATTAAAAGTAATGTTAAATAAGGTGGCATGTCTTTTTAATATTTTTTTTAAATGTCTATAGGTAGATTGAGCATGAAACAATATTAGACATGCACATATGATTGTATGAATGATTTAATGTTCTTACGATAAACATTGAATGATTAAATGTATATGATGATATGGAGTACCAAATGGTAAATGGCTCTTCAGAGCAAATGGTAAATGGCTCTTCGGAGCAAATAAATGAAATGATTGACCAAATTTGAATGTGTATTTGATCAATACAAAAATGTTGGTACTTCCGTGACGGATGTATAAAACAATGAAAAGTTTATATGCATATAAGAATATAAAGGAAAAGTTATGAATAATGAAAAAAATGAGAAAGTTATGATTATATGAAAAGATAAAAGAAAAATGAGTATTTATGATGTCATACAGAATATGCATACCCAAATGTCAATTTATGACTTTTAAATTAATTCATCTGAAAATAATTTCAGCACTGCCATATGAAAGTTATATGCATAATGTCTTCTTTTCCTTGCTTTATGAATTTAAGATAAATATTTGTTATCTACTGAGCGTTAGCTCATCTCTGATTGTGAGACTATATTTTTCAGGAGTACCTGCTAACATTTGATGGCTGACAAACTTATTACTTACCGTCATAGAGAATCCCAAGAAGACTGGTTCTTTATGATTATGTTATGTCATGTAATGGTTTATTTATTGTGGTCTTCTTATAATGGATTTGTTTATGATTTGTTGCTTTTGATGTAATTTAAGGAATTTATATGGATGTTTAGTGGCTCTTTTAGAATTTGAAGTTGTATGAATATTTGAGCATATTGATGTTGAAATGTTAAAATGAAAGATTTTTGGTAACTACCGTATGACTGTTAGTTTCCGCTTCATTAAATCGAGCTTACAGGGCAAGGTCGTGACACTCCTTGACTCTAACAATTTCTTATAAAACTTTAGAATGAAAATCTTTATTCAAACAAATTTGAAACATGCAAATAATCAAAGAAATGAAAACACTAACTAAACCAAGCAAAGAAATTATATTACCACCAGGAAAAAACTTGAATTATGGAGGTCAACCTTAAAAACCAAACATGCTGGCTAGGTTTACTATGGAAGTCATACATTTATTGAAAGGTTTAATGGAGAAGTATAGAGAAAAAAAGGAAGATCTTCATATGATATTTATTGATTTAGAGAAAGCATATGATAATATTTCAAGAGAAGTGCTATGGAGAGTTCTAAAAAGAAGGGATTAACAAAGCTTATATTTAAGTCATTAGGGATATATATGCTAGAGTTGTTACTTGTGTTTAAACACTAGGTGGTTTGCTTAAGTATTTTTCAACTTCAGTTGGATTACGTCAAGGATCAACTTTAAGCTCATATCTTTTTGCTTTAGTCATGGATGTTCTTACTAGAGATTTGCAAGAGGATGTCCCCCGATGTATGCTTTTTGCTAACGATATTCTTCTTGTTGATAAAAGATTAAAGAGGGAGTTGAAGAAAAACTTGAATTATGGAGGTCAATCTAAGAGTCTAAAGATTTTCGTTTGAGTGGATCTAAAACCGAATACATAGATTGTAATTTTAGTAGTAATAGATCTAGTAGGGGGCTTGTGACTTTGAGCCATCAAATCATTAATAAGAGTACACACTTTAGATATCTTGGGTCTATTATTCAGAGTGATGGTGAAATAGACGGGGATATTATTAGTAGAATTCAAGTTGGATGGATGAAGTGGAGGAATGCATCAGGCTTGTTGTGTGATAGAAAAGTACCATTCAAACATTACGGAAAATTCTATAAGATGGTGGTTAGACCTGCAATGCTTGATGGCGCAGAATGTTGGTCATTCAAAGAGAAGCTTAATATTAAGTAAAGTATTATAGAGATGAGGATGCTCGAGCGGATGAATGGATATACTCTTAGAGATAAGATAAGAAATTAGCATATATGTGAAAAGGTTGGAGTAGCTCCAGTGGCTGATAAGATTAGAGAGAGTCGCCTTACATGGTTTGGTCACATAAAACGGCGGCCTTCCGAGGACCCGATTAGGAGAGTAGATGTATTAGATTTAACCTATGTTATGAAAGATAGAGATAGACCTAAAAAGACTTAGTTAGAAAATATTACAAATGATCTTTCTTTATCAAATTTAAATGATAATTTAACTCTTAACTGGAAACAATGGAGAAAAAGGATTCATGTAGCCGACCCCATGTAGTGGGATAAAGGCTTGTTGTTGTTGTTGTTGTTGTTGGTCCCCTATTATGTTAATAGGACATATTGGAGAAAAGATTTCAAAAGCCGACCACACATGATTGCATAAAGGCTTGATGTTGTTGTTGTAGTTATGATTCTTTATTATGTTAAACTAGTTAGAGCCAACTAGTGTCAATATATTTAGGTAAGGCATGTTGATGTCAAATTTTGCATCGAGGACGATTCAGCCCGGATTGAGCCGATTTGAACTCGATTGGGCTTGATCGCGCTCGATTAGCACGATTGATCGACGTTGAATGCAAACTAACCCAAATCAAACCTCAATTTAATGAAATTAAGCTCAATTTGATTAAATTAAATCGAATAGATCGAACTGACACAAAATCTATTCAAATCAGACCCAATCAAGCCTCATCGAACCAAATTCGACAAAATTCATCGCCAATTTGAGTCCAATTTCATAAAATTGGCTCGATCAAATCCAATTAGACCCAAATCAACCTAAATCAGTTTCAATCGGGTTCAATTTGGGCTCAAAATCAGCCCAATTTGACTTTCCAAATCAGAGATTTTAAATAGACGGCTTAGATCTCCTCGATTTCGGATGCCCACGCGGGCTTCTCATTAAAACTCACAGCGGGATTTCTGATCCAAAAATCTTATTTTGCGCATAGAGATAGAGAGAAGAGCGGGACAAGGAGAGGTCCATTCGGCCCTATCTTTTTGCGTGCTTCCCGATCAGAGCAAGAGAGCAGGAGAGGGAGGCAGTTAAGGGCATTCTGCTATGAGCGATTTTCTCTTCCTTGAGTGCTAATCATCTAGCCGAAGCATAAGGAGAATGAAGCAGAGGTACGGGGGATTCTGTCACCTTCGCGGACTCGATCCTAGAGGAGGAAGAAGCCGCGACCTATGCGTGCGTACGAATGACCCGAGCAGGTCTTTTTCCAGGTGACAGGCTTCTTCTTCCTAGTCGATTGTAAGGGAAGGGGGGAAAGCTTCTTTTCCTCTATTTAGAGGTGCTAGACCGGCTGGTTGTCTTCTTCCTTTGGCCTTGCTAGAGCAACAGCTGCTGCTATTTTCCTAAAATCTCAGGGCAGGAAGTGTTAATGCAACCTCGCTTCCCTCTAAGAAAGTTCTCCAGCAATGGTAGTGTAACACTCCACAGTACCCCTAAATAGTACCATTGAGTGTAACATGCATCAAATAAACATTTATCTTTTCAAAAATATTTAATACAATTATTATTTCTTTTTGGAAGTTCATATGAAACATCTAATCATAAGTCCATTTATATCTCAACGGAAGCATCTTCCAAATTAAAACCTCAATAAACACATTTACAGAGCCACTAAGAAAATTCAAACCAACTTAAAGTAGTACAACATGTAAATTTCTTACTAACCTCATAAGTAAACTTCAAACATAGACTAAACATTAACATAAAATTTAAATACTTGCAGATTAGTCTTCATCCGCCTTTCCTTTTCTCTTTCCTATAACAACAGCCAATAATAAACTACTGGTGAGCTATGAGACTCCATAAGTGATGCAACTTGAAATAACATTTAAATTGCATGATTCTAAAATTCAAAATATTGAAAGCATAAATAAAAGTTATACTACTTGAGTAAGCTTCATAATTCTCATTTGATATTACCCAGAAATTCTTCTTACATCCATACTGAATATCAATTTTACTCATTAAAAGATTTGGCTACTCATTCATAAATATATTCAATGGAGCCCTGGTATACTTGGCATTATCGACATTGAATTACATAGAGGTCTCTTTTGCCTCTTCGGGGTCCCTTTTGCCCCCACCTGCTTTGCAGGTTTCATTTCTTTGGGGTCCCTTTTGCCCCACTTACCAAACAGTTTAATATATGAGGACCCTTTTGCCCCACCTGTATTGATAAGTTATACATAAATCTTAGCCAAATCTTATTTTTAAATTGATATTCAGTACACCTTCCATATTCATTATCCATACTAGACTTGTTGCATGCTTTCATATTCCTTCATTATATAACATGAATATGCACATAATAAATAAAGAAAATGATCTCTTTTCAAAACATTATCAATAAGAAAAATATTTAAATGAACATAATACACATTGATTTAAACTCACATAATTAATTTATGTAAGTGATTAATCATAATTGAAAACTTGTAAGTATAATCTTTTTAGTCCTTTCACAAAAGGTTGATCAAACATGCATAAAATCAAATCAATTACTTTCATGACTACTTTCTAAAGTGTCATTATAAACATTGTACATATCTAATAATAAGGTATATATATTTCTTAAAAATAGTTGCATCACTTACCTTCTTGCCGAGACGTCCACTCCAATTCCCTACTATGCCTTCTTCTACGATTATAAGTAACTTCAAAACCTCCCTTATGCATATAATTAATGAATCCTAAAAATATAATTGATATGCTTGCATTAGGAACTATCATCAACTTTACAAAAATCTAAAAGACAACTACAACATTATCATACTAACAATTTGCTTACCTCTTTCATCTTCCCTCAATTTCCTTCTTTCTTTTCTCTTCTATTATATCTCTACTCTTCCTTTTTATTCTTGTTCCAAATCCTTCCAAGCACTATTGTTCATTGAAACTTTCTGTGCATGCCAAACCTCTCCAATGCATAGTGGAAATGCCGAATTCTTCAACCTATTCCTGCTACAGAGACTATGCCGAAATCCTCCTAGGCATTTTCCTCTGGGTTTCCTACACTTGCGTAATTTCTTCTCTAACAGAAATTTCGGCTCTAACTGTTGTTGCTGTACAGGAATTCCTTGTCTGAACTGAAATTCCTAGCCAACTCTGCTATAAAAATCAACCTTACCGAATCCCCCCAGTGCACTATGCCATATCTTCTTCATAGCAGAGTAATATGCCAACTCTTCATAAATGAAAATCTGTACTGTTTCCGCTCTAGTGCTCCTCTCCACCTTCGCTTCACACGAAACTAAAATTCTCCTGCTAACCGCTGCTTGAAGGACCGTATGGAATAGTAGATTACGGTATTTCTCTGATATATGCTAATGCTTATCCTTTCCCATTCATCTGAACCGTTGCATGCATTGTTTGGGAATGGTTGAGTGTAAGCAAATATTAATTAATATAATATTAGTGCTAGTGGAGTACGGGAATCTTATTAGAGGCCTAATTAACATATTTTAATTAACATAACTTTTTTTTTATTAACAGTAGTATAAACATTAACCATAGTTTATTAATATTAACTGTAACTTTTAATTACTTAATTCTTTAACAGTAACCTATTAATTAATAGAACAAGAATCTATTTGTTACCAATAATTAATTGCTAATCATAATTAGAATTTAATAAAAAATTGTAATCATACCTGAAATTTAGGTTATTACAGGTAGAGGGATCTTCCTCCTACTTCAACTCAGGTGATCCCGAGATAACAAAATCAGCGGTTTGGAGCACTTTGGACACCAAAATCAGCCTCCGAAAACGTCCAAACGATGAAGACAGCAGTCTGGAACATCTTGGACAACAAATCTGCCTTAAGGGGGAGATTGGACAGCAACGATGGCATCCGGAGCGGTCTGGACAGCAGCAGCGACGTTTGGAACATCTTGGACAGCAATCCTCTTCCTCCTCCTTGTCGCTTTCTCACCTCTGGACAAGGAGAGTGGATTGTGGGTCACGCCGTGATAACCCGGCGAGGTAAATCTCTCCAAACTTAGGAAAAGCCCTAGGTCTTCAAGCCTTATGGATGTCTATGACGCTCCAAAAGCCATAGGTCTTTAGAAACCTTGCATTTAAATTTCTAAACCGAAAATACCCACTGCCCTTCTCCGTTAAACAGTATAAATCCAGTTATTTCCATTTGGTGGCTCTCATGTGGGAGTCTGAAGAGGATGTCGATGCATGTAGAAGTGTTTGATTGGTGTCCAACACCTCCCAAAATGCATGATTTCACATTCATGTTGCTTCTTTATCATCACCTATAACTAAACCATAGGTTAGGTGATTTTATTTGATTCAAAATCAAATGTTGAGGTGTAGGAATTTTCCAAATCTTGCAAGCCATGCTATCCTTTCCTCAAGCCAAGTGTCAAGACAAAAATTGACAGAGTTAGGAATTTGCATATGCTAAAGCAAGCGGATTTCATCATAACTTGGCTATATATCCAAAATGGATTTGATAACTAGTTCTAGGATCTTATACCAACCCCAAAAGGTTCATTTTGTAAATCCTAAAGCAAGTAATGTTGGTTAAACTCATTTTGGGTATATTGCAAAGCTTATGGGAAAAATAACAAGTGAGCATTTGCACTATTGTATGAAATACCTAAAAATTGGAAAACCATCATCATGCTTTAATAAACCAATTCATGACAAAATTGACTGGAACATTCTTAGAAGCCCTAGATGTGATTTCCTACCTTAACATAATCAAAATCATGTTTCCTAGATCTCTTAATAGGATAATTAATCCTCCAAATTTCTCATAATCATGCCAAAATTGATTTAGGAGTCATTTAAAAGCCTTAGGTGTATATTTACCTTCTCCAAATGAATTTGAAACATTCATAAAAGAATAAGGGAACTCTTTTTCATATATACACCTCTTTCATGTGTAATGTTTGGAGCATTCTCAAAGCTCTAAATGTTAAGTTGCATGAAATTTAGAAACTACTAGGAACTCACCTATAGATCTTCTACCTTCTCATATATGATGGTTTGGAGTATCTCAACTCTCCAAACATTTCATTATATGAATCATCGAAGTTTAGAAACAAATCATAAATTTCATTTTTCATTTGTTGAGGCATAAAAGTTGATAGACGGACTTTCCAGTTCTTTCATGCAAGATATTTGGAGCCTCCCCTAGGCTCTAAATGTGCTCAAGGTTTAAAATTGTGTAATTAAGCCTCGAGGCGGTTTTCGTCCATGAGGCAAGGCGTAAGCCTCAAGGCGGTGTGAGGCGTAAGCCTCACGGACGCAGAATTACGTAAATAAGAATTTAAAAATCCAAAAACACACAAAAAAATAAAAAAAATAAAAAACCCTAGATTTTCTTTCACTTGAAAAATCTAGCCCTAAACTAAAAAAAATACCTAAAATCGATTGTGGAGTACTCCTAGAGGACGGCCGGACACTTCAAGTTTGTCGGAGAGCATGGTTTAAAATTGCGCAATATGAAGCTCGCCTTGAGGCCCGCCTTTGAGCAATTCCAGTAAAAAACGCCTCGATGCTTACGCCTCAAGTTTTTTTTATGAGGCTTGCGCCTTAACTTGGTTGAGGCCCGCCTCGCCTCACTGACATGAGGCTTATGCCTCACGCTATATATATATTAAAACTTACATAAATCTTGAAGTAAATGTCCGACATTGGACTCTATAGTAGAGGAGGAAGGGGAGAGAGCAAGTCATTATAATGATGATTCAAATGAAGAACCCCTTAGTGATGACAGTGTCGATGACTTATGAGTTCTTATGTGATATGTCATTGCTATTTGTTTTTGGAATTGGAATTATATGTTAATGAAAAGAATACTGGGATTTGGGAAAGATAGAATTTTGAGTTGAACTATATTTCATGTTGTCTTCAAGGTTTAAAATTGCGTAATTAAGCCTCGAGGCGGTTTTCGTCCGTGAGGCGAGGCGTAAGCCTCGAGGAGGTCAGAGGCGTAAGCCTCACGGACACAGAATTGCGTAAATGAAAAATTAAGGGTTTAGCAGGAAAATAATAGCAATATTGTATCTTACAATAAAAACATCTAAATGATATATGAAAATAGTGGAAAGTAAGAAAGTAGATGCAATAAAATCATATCCCAAAGTACAAAATCACAAAATATTAGTTTAACAAAACTCTCAAAGTACAAAAACATATAAAATGCAATCATATCCCATCACTAAATGGGTCTTCAAGGGAATCTTCTTCTCCAATTGTATCTATGAATGTCATATCATCATCATCTTTAATATGACTCACTTTTCTCTTCCCTGTTCAATAAGAGAAAATATCATTAGCATGTTAATTGCTCACTTGATATAAATATACTGCGATAGCATATAAGAAGTTGTGGAATACCTTTACTTGATTGTTGTGCTACAGAGCTAATGAAGAAGGAAGATGTGCATAAGATTGTTTTTAGAACTCATGAGGGGCATTATGAGTTCCCGGTGATGTCTTTTGACCTCATCAACGCTTCAGCCACTTTCCATCCATTCATGAATAAGGTTTTCGAACCTTATCTAAAGTGGTATGTCATGGTATTCTTTGACGACATCCTAATTTATAGCATGGCATAAGATGAGCACTGGAGCAGTTGAGAAGGGTGTTAGAGGTGTTGCAGGAGCACCAGATGAGGGCAAACTTAAAGAAGTGTTGTTTTGCTCAAGCAATACTTGGGCCATATTATTTTCAAAGAACGGGTGACAGCAGATAAGTAAAAAATTGAGGCTATATTGAGGTGGCCAGTGCATAGG